ATTAACCGATAAAATTAAAGAACAAACTTAAAATAATAAATTATTGAGAGGGCTATTTCGGTTGGAGATTGTATATAGATATGGCATGACACTGTTCATTAAAAAATAATTTCTTGCAAGGCTATAATCTAGACGGAGGCTAAACGTAGCCCCTTCTGTTAGAGATGGCCTAACCATCGTATAACTGACCTACCATTGCTTGAAAAGAAAACCTGATTACCTTATTGTTAATCATCTCAAAAGTTGCCGTCAATGACCAAACCCAAGCATCAGCCAACACTTTGTTGTTGAGGTGAAAACAGTTTGGCATTAAGGAGCTGCCACGCAACATGAAAGTTGTGATATTAATGCCGCAAGAGTTGGAACAAGTAGCCCAATGCCATCATGGTCCTCAACTCTGCTTGATTAAGCTAAGCAGTCATTGAATACAGAAAATATATGCTCGGCTCGTTATTTGAGAAGAAACTATTCCTACTTACTAATCACACGTTGATAAGTGTTAAAATATGGTTTATACAAAGGAGGACTGACTCCTCCCACGAAAGACAACAAGAGATGAGTTAGGTTAGACGGGAGGATATCGATCTTTCTCTAGAAATGGTGCTAGCTATGACACTCATTTTTATACATGAAAATGTGCTTGATTTGTTCAGCTTGGATTAAGAAGGAAAACTGTCAGTAATTAGATACTAATGGCAAATATAGGAGCTTAATTCAACTTGTTTAATTTGTGATCCTACTGCTTATATATTTTCGTTTCTCTGGGCTAGAAGATTTGTTCATATAGTGGGCAATTTTTTGTTTTGGACTTGTATTATTCCTTCTTGGGCTTCAATGAATAGGCATGCACTGATCGGTATATATACTGCAGAGATGGGAAAATCTTTCTATTTCTAGGGCTGACGTGTACAATTTTCCATGTTGTCAATATTTGTCCTGTTAATGGGTTTAGGGTTTAACGACGAATGATCTTTATGGGACCAAACCGCCCTCCTCATATATTAATAATCACTGCTCATATGTATGAATGATGGGTCCGGGAAAAAAAAATTTTATGTACTCTCTTAGAAGCAATTCGATTATATTCTTCGTATTGACAATTGAAATAAAGCACCCAAATAATAAAGTCTCTAAGAAAACTAGTTAGATGTAACTATTCCAAGCATGTCACGGCTACTATTGAGAAGCAAGATGACGCATATTTTCTGGTTAGGAAAAGGGAAGCGTATCCTGAGTCCATGAACATGGGGTCGTCAAAGGCGCAACTACAGAGGCACAAAGAGAGGTCGTCAGAAATCGCCACTGAGTGAAAATTCCGTGCCTCTGCTCATTGAATCTGGAGTTCGTTCTGATTTGTGGCGCTTCGCTGCAGCAATGATGATGTCGTGTTTATTTTTTATTTTTAAATACTCAGGCCAAAACAACATCGTTTCGGATGTGGGATTAAAAAATAAATAAAATGGTTCGTCTGGTTTTGTTAAAAACTAAAACGGTTCGTTTAAGCTATCATACAATTCAACTTGACAAAAAGGCAAAACCTTTTTCCTACCATTGGAGAACACCGCGGTCTCTCCAGACTCCAGACTCCTGCGCCACCGCGGTCTATCCATCTGAACACCTATGCTGAAAAGCTTCCCATGATGCAATGGTTTAATCTAATAAGTATGTGTACATGCTAATTAATGATATGAATCTACGCTATACAAACAAAAAAAAGCTCATACAAATGCAGGAGCTGCTGAGTTAATGGAAGAGGCCAAGTCTATGTATCTTTCTTGTTTTTTCACTGCACAAATATTTTTGTTGCTCTATAGGGAACGATGATCAGTCGACCGATCTTGTTCTGGGTGCCTTTCACCACGCTGTTGCTCTCTCCTTTAGTCGTGATTTTCAGGGCCGCAAGACCAGAATCTTCAATGGAAAATCGTCTAGGGTTGCAAAAAATTTCAAATCTAAAGTTCTCCTGTTTTTACTGTGCAAAGTTTTGCTTCCCTTGATTTTTTTGGAGGTTCCATTTTTTCTAGTAAATTAGTAAAACTATGCTCCTTTTTTTTCATCCCTTCAAGTTATCCAAGCTTTCAACTTGTGGTGCTAATTAACTTGTACAATTGCCCAAGTATGTCTGCTTACTTATTCATCCGTACGTTGCCAATTGTAAAGTACTACGTAAATTCAGCTTAACCGAATTTTAGATCTTAGATCCGTCACTGTTACTCAAAGTCGTACGTGTCAAATTTTATGGCACGAAAAGTATTTCATTTGCCAGAATATGGACGAAGCATGCATCTTTGATGTTGCTCTAAATCATCAATGCAAATCATGCGCTGAGCATCGATCCAAATATTCCATGCTGACTTCGACGTAGCTATTCTGGCAGTCGGCCAATTAAGACTAGAAAGCTGATAAGCTCATTGCCGGACAGCATATTGGGAACCTTCCTCAACATGTTGCATGTCCATACCAATTTTGAATGATAACTTGGCTTCTTCCTATCTTGGAAATGTCACAAATAGCCAGTCGAGAGCTAATTTAAAGAAGAAAAAAACTCGTTTTTTGTGTTTGTATGTATGATTTATTGATTTGGACAACTTGGACAACAAGTTAAATTGTTATTTGTGTGATCCAGATTGCTGCTCAAGCAAAGAAGCAAGGGAGATATTCTCTTTTCTAACTCACGTGTGTATATAATTTGATCAAAAGGAGTTGGTTTGGTTATTAATGACACACCCAGATCCAAAATATTTACCTGAACATTCAAATCGAGTTGTGCTTGGTTTTATCACCTCCAGCACAGTTTGACTCAAGTGTCTAGGTGAACATTCTAGGTCGGAGTATGTCAATTAGTGTGTGGTTTTCCAGTACTGCAAAAATGCATTGGTTGACCAATATTAGCACAAAAATGCATATTCCACAATGAATGCACGAAGTAGAAGTGGGCATAATTACATTGGTTAAAACATATGTGCTTCTTAATATATGTATTAATTTCAAATCTCCGTCTTCACAACTTTAAATTAGTTTAAAGTATAATATTGGGGAGCATAATGACTTGCTAAATATAACTCATTCGATTTGAATACCATTTATCATCAATACATGTCAAAGTAATAAGTAGTTATATAAAAGTAGCATTAATGATGAATTGTTTATTTCTTAATTCATTTGAATGACTAAACAGTATCTAAATTAGACGAATTTTCTAAACTTGTCAAGACACAATATATAATCAAAAGAAGTTGCTACAATATGAATTAAAAAGATGAAACCAAGGTTAAAATTAATTTGATAAATAATTAGGTAAAATCTCAAGAACTAACCTTAGCTAGGCGGCCCATGGTTACTCAGGACCAAATAATTAGGTTACGCAAAGTCGAGGGTATTTAGGTCTAATCAAATTCGTCATCGCTATCATCGAGCCCAAACCCTTAGCGCAGAAACAAGGAGACCGGAATAGCCGGTAAAATGCATTTATCAAAAGCGCACGATGGACCCCACACGGTGCATGGACCGGTAATTTCTAATTGACACGCGTCCTGTCTTATCCGTTTTCCAACTTTCCCTTTAAATTCTGAATCCAAACTCCCCAAACCGTCAGAAGTGTTAATTTTGGTAATCCGAATTCCCAAATCCAACGTCTCTCTCTAAAAATGTCAACCAATCTCATCAACTTCCGTCCAATCCTAACCGCGCCATGCGCCGCCGGAAAGCGAAGGCCCAGCTCAGTAGGCGGGAAAGGCTCGCCGTCTAAGTGGTGGACGCCGATCTTCGGGTGGTCCTCCGAACCCGACTACATTGACCCGGAGGCAAAGACGGACTCCGACGACAAGGACGAGGGCGGAGCAGACGACTCGAAACAGAGGCGATCGCGGTTCGCGCCTGGCTGCTTCACGGAGGAGAAGGCGCGGCAGCTCCGGATCAAGACGATCGAAATGGAGACGTATCATGACGCGATGTATCACTCGTCGATCGCCAACCGACTCGCCTCCGATTTCAGGAACCGGTCCGATCTATGAGCCGGCGATTTAGAGATGATGAGAATAATGTTTTGCCCCAAATAATCTGTTTTTCTTTTTTGATAAAGTAGGATTAGGGGCGGCTAAAAATGTGAAAGATGGTGACGTCCATGATGTAATTAACGCTTTAGTTGCGTGATTTAGACTAATAAGCTTGTAATTATTGATGTTGTTTATAAATAATATGATTTTTTAAATTTGGTTTGTAAAAAACTGATCAAGTATCGACGACATACTTTAAGATGGGTGTTTTACATCTCTCCCACTAAAGAGCTTTTCGGTTAACAAAAAAATATAAAATGCTGATTTCAAGGCACTTTGTATCGTCCATCGGACATGTCCTAATAAACTTAATTGGTTCACATTGGTTGAACTGTTCAAGATCAATAATTAATCCTAGTGATATTGGGGAAGGGAGGTAACGAGACGTCGAGAACACATTACCTCGGGTGCAGATGGGCGTACTACAAACGCCTTGCAAGGTCTAGGTCAAGTTTTTGTCTTTTGGGTCAAGTTGGATGTGGCGTATTTGGATCGTTGGTAGGATCCTTCAACTTGGAAAAGTATCCAAACTAGGAATATGCCGGTGGGTATCGAACCGAATCCATGGGTCATGAAACTCATGATTCGTGACAGGGACACAGTGCCTGGGGCTTGGGAGGGCATGGTCAGGATATTTTCACCAAAAAGTATATACGTAACATATCGGAAGCAAACTCCGCAGGAGAACTTCTATGCACCTGGGATGCCACGTTGGTTGTAGCCCAAGCAAATCACGCACAGGCACACTGTAGCATAAGAAGTCAAAATCTTTAAGTACCAAAAATCGAAATACATGACATTGCTCGATTGGCTTGCGATCATAGGTACAGGTGAGTAATTCTCCTACTGCACAGATGCGAGCAAAAATAAAAGACAGGCAGGCTATGTCGGCAAAACCAAGCCCCGTCTTAGCATATATAACTGCAACCATAACAAACATAACAATTGACGAAACAAGTTCACTCGTTTGTATTTATTCACTAGCAACTATATGCCGAAAACAGATTGCGTGGTTGTATCTCCGGCCAGCGAAAAGAAGAAGAAATGCAGTATGTAGTTATCAGTATAGCTCCATAATAGATGGAGACAATCTGAAATTATCCTAAGACAATGATGTATCAAAATAGCCTAAAGTAAATGTTGGTGCAGTTGGAACATAGAGCTGAAAGAACCCGCAAAACGACTCGCGTTGGTGTAAGCTACTGCATAATCTCAAACCTGCTCTTGAAATTTACTTGCTCTCAGCATCATACAGATCAGTTCTGAATATGTCTGTTAAGGATAAAAAAACACACCAGAATGTGGAGAAAACAACAAAGACATGACGAGAGTGAAATACAAAGAGCTTAAAGAATCAGATAAATGTAATATTCATTGGCAGCAATTTACAAGAGTATATTCTTGATTCCCTATCACTTTGAGTGAGAAGTTGTATCTTATGCCACAATGCTACACTTACGCGTTTATCTTTACACAAACAAAAGGATTACTTCTCAAAGACAGAATTTCGAATTTCAAAAGGAACCACAACAAGTCAGCCTGTCATGTATCAACCGAGCTCGAAGCTAATCTATTTCAATGATTGATATCTCCAAACCATTACCGCATAAAATAAAAACAACAACATCTACGGAGCTCGAAGCTAATCTATTTCAACGGTTGATATCTCCAAACAACAACAGCCACCAAGCCTTATCCCACTAAGTGCAGTCGGCTCAAACCATCACCGCATCAACAATACAAATTCTAGCTTGCAAATCGAACAATTCTCTAAAACCAATTCCCCTACCCTAATCCTTTTCACCTACATATACCACCAGAACATGCTCTAATGTTAGCAAAACCAAGCCCCATCCTATTCGAACACACATCTTTCGCATTGGCTGCCAAGATTATGGACTAAAAAAATCCAAAATCTTGGCAGCAACGTGAAAATCTACCACGGTTCCGATTTCAAACCTAAGTTACTAATTCTTCCACCAATTTGCATCAATTCCGCAACTTATAGCAATCAAAACATGTCATTTCTCATAGCACCAATCTATCTATTCAATATATAATCTCTCAATCACCAAAAAAACTAAGTACAAAAAAGGATACACCAAATAAAAGCCATGAGCAAATGCTCCAACCAGCACAGCAGTAAACAAGCGGTCCCGCACAACCGGATTCTTCCGCAATGAGAGTCGAACTGAGAAAATCAAACATCCACATAAAAATATAAACAAATTGTTGGGAAAAAAAACCCAGATGGGAAATACCGATTAAAATCACAAAAATTAAATTAAAAAAAATGAGAAAATTGGAAAAACTTACTGAGGGGAAGAACAGGGGCATATATAAGAGGAATCAAGAACTTGATTTGATGTCCTGGTTGTCTCCTTCGGATTGCAGCAGCAGCATCCCTATCAATATTTCCATGAACAAAACGAAAATAAATAATTAAAAATGGAATTAAAATTTCGATGAGTTTGGCGGGACTCACTGATTAGAGCGATCGGAGGAGGCGGGCCAGGAGGCCATGGCGGGTGGGTCGATGAAGGGATTTGAGATCTGGAGATATATTGTCCGGTTAGTTCTCTGCGCCTAATTGAAACGGTGCGGTACGGTCAATGTATCGGGCCCTATAGAATATATGTAAAATTCCTCCCTCGCATAAATTATTAATTTAAAAGAATTATTATCACTAAGGGAAATGTGAATTTCCAATTATCCGCTAAAATACTGGACTATATTTATATTCTACACATAAATCATTAAACTGAAGGTAAATTACAAAAAATAATATGTTTGTCATTATTTGAGAAATTTCTTATTTACGCATGTTTTTTACATCTTGTCATAAATAATATTTATTTACGATATTTTAAAGTACTAGATTGTACGAGGTAGGGTAATTCAAACTCACATGTAAGGTGGAAAATAATGGTAATTATTAGATAGTTGGTAAAATAAGATTTACAATTTTAATTTCATTCTCTAAAAAAATTAATTCCAATTTTTTTATTATATTGAATTCTCAAATTCAAAATTGTGGATAATTAATTTTTAGGGAATCAGAGCCATTTAAATTTTTTTTGAAAAATGATTAATTTTGAAAAATACGAAACTCTAAACTACCCTAATTTATAAAATAAATTCAAATTTAAAAATTAAGCATACTGACTTAATCAACTAAAGTAATCCAAATTATGCTAAAACGAGTAAAGTTGCAAAAGTTTTATTTTCGTCAGGTGTATGTCATGCGCCACCTAAATATACGATCAAAGATTCAAAATTGTTCAACAAGTATCATATATACCGATGCATACTAAAAGTGTTTCTAAATTAAAACACGCGTTTTAAAAAATGGATGTTATAGTTGGTCCCCAATTCTCCACAATGGATACAGTTTTTCAAAAAAGAAAAAGAGTGGTAGGGCCGGGTGTCCGGACCTACAGATGTGGGACCCATAAATTTTGAAAAATGGTTTCTTCTAGTCAGACATTGAGAAAAACAGAAGCAAAGAGATCCAATGGCGGAGATGAAAGCGTCAATCTAAAGCCAGCCGCAGAGTCAGCCAAGCCATATAAAAGTAGGCTCCCTGCCCACCTCCATACTCAAATCGCCGCCTTCGTCTCCGTTTGTCTCTCTCACTCGGCTGCGACTCTTAGATTCTCTCTCTCTCTCTCTCTCCCTCTCTCTCCCTCTCTCTCTATCGCCACTCGCCGCCTCGAAGCCCCAATGGTAACTCTCTCTCTCTCTCTTCTTTTTCTGCTTTTTTAGGGCTTAGGGTTTATGCTGGTGATCGATGATTTGGTTCGAATTTGAATTTGTTCCCGTAGGCTTTGCCGAACCAACAGACTGTTGATTATCCGAGCTTCAAGCTCGTCATCGTCGGCGATGGAGGCACTGGTAATTTTCCGATTCCTTGTTCTGTTTCTTATGTTCTGAGTTGATGTTTTCATCGACTGTGTTGGCACGATTATTGCAATTTTGAAATAAGGGTTTTGATAAGATTTTGGGTTTAGGGTTTTGTTGGCACAATTATAATACACTCCCTCCCTAAGAAGAATTTGATTCAATTGTTCGGATATTTACAATTTTGACTAAAATATTTACTAAATTGAAAAGGTACAATATTTGGTTTGATATGTGATACTATCTAATTAAATTGATATTGATGGAAATAAACAATCTTCTTAGAGGGAAATGATTTTACATTTATTTGTCCGTAAATGTGATTATTTTGCTGGAATTTTCTTTTGATAAAACTCGTGATAAGAGCAGAGAAATTCGAAGCTAAACACCGGTTAATTTGGGGAGACAATGCCTAGGAAAGAAGAAACAATGTCAACTGTTCTCCAAGTTATAGTGTTGTGTGGCGATTTGTATTTGAACTGAATGGTGATGAGTTGTGCAGGAAAAACCACTTTCGTGAAGAGGCATCTCACTGGTGAATTCGAGAAGAAATATGAGCGTAAGAGACTTTTCTGACATTTCTCTCCATTGCGCCGTGTTGTTAGTTTGTTGTTATAATTAGTTTGACCTTGATATGTTCGCTTATTCTTAACATTCATTTACTGTTACTTTTCTTTGCAAACAGCCACCATTGGTGTGGAGGTTCATCCACTGGACTTCTTCACAAATTGTGGAAAGATCCGCTTTTACTGCTGGGACACTGCTGGGCAAGAGAAGTTTGGCGGTCTTCGAGATGGTTACTAGTAAGTGAAAATTTTCCTGTTGCTTTTGTTCTTGATATTTCATATCCACATAAAAAATCATTTGATGCATTACTGATTTTGTGTATGTTTAATGGCTCCCAAAGCATTTTACAGTATCTTATGACTTCTTTTATACTTGATTACCTATATAAGTTATTTGCCCTTTCATTGTGCTGCTTAGTTGATGGTCTCACCTAAAATTTTCCGCTGAAATATGCAGCATTCATGGGCAGTGTGCAATCATCATGTTTGACGTTACTGCTAGGTTGACATACAAGAATGTTCCTACATGGCACCGTGATCTCTGCCGGTGAGTTAACTAAATTAATGTTGTGTCAAGTCTAATGTTTCTTTATTGTTTTATTTTTACATTAGATGGTGATGGTTCGGTTTATTTGACTCCTCACGTTATGATTTCAGTGTGTGCGAGAACATCCCTATTGTTCTCTGTGGCAACAAGGTTGATGTGAAGAACAGGCAGGTTAAGGCCAAGCAGGTTACCTTCCACAGAAAGAAGAATCTGCAGTACTATGAGATATCAGCCAAGAGCAACTACAACTTTGAGAAACCCTTCCTCTACTTGGCGAGGAAGCTTGCAGGGTAATTACAAACATTCTCATTTTTATTTGGTTGCTATAGCGTATCGATAATAGTAATTGAGATTGATGCTGCTGCTGTTACTTCAGTGACGCAAATCTTCATTTCGTCGAGTCTCCGGCCCTTGCTCCTCCAGAAGTGCAATTTGACATGGCTGCCCAACAACAGTAAGTATTTTCTCTATGTTAATAAACTTGAATCTTCTTTGATGTTAACGTTGAAATCAGTAACTTTTCAATGCAAACATCGTGGATCCAGCATGAAGCTGAAAATTGTCTCATCTCGGTTATTATTGCTTCTTGCAGGCATGAAGCTGAGCTTGCGGCAGCAGCTGCCCAACCTCTTCCTGATGACGATGACGAGGCATTCGAATAGACGGGGAGATGATGCATTTCAATATACCGTGTTATATTTCTTCTAGGACATGGCTTTCATTCGTTCTGCCGGGATTTGATTTTCAAAGTGTCGTGTTAAAACACAGGGCCCCTTTTAGTCAGATTCAAGTACAGCTACTTTTAGCTATTGTTTCTCATTGGTTGTGCTGTTAGTTAATCGTATGGATGTTCGTTCTCCAGTAAATTTTTCCTTGAATTTGCTTTGCCTAAAGCCAACAGTGTATTTTCAGAACTCGATTGTTTCCGAACTTCTATAGATTGATTAGTTCCCTGTTCTTGGTTCTACATGAAATGCATGCACAAAACCATGGGAAGATGCACAAAACCATGGAAGGATATCATAATTCTGTAGGCGTTTCGCTTCGGAGCAAAGCAAAATGTTGCACCCAATTTGGGCTGGTGAAAAAAGAGTTGGTCTAGGGTTTAGGGTCCGTTGCGAATTTATGAGACGCTACCACAAATCTGAACTGAAAATGATGGAACTGAGTTTCTGTTGATTCGAACAAGGATACAATCTTATACGAACCGTATTGGACAGGAGGAGTTCAAACACTGACCTCTGGTGCAGGTGTAAATACTATTGAACCAACGAAGAACCTCAGGTGCATGCGTAAACACTCTTCATCACTTAAATCACAATCTCGCAATAAGGCTACAGCTTATGTTGCCCAAATGTTAATGTTTTTCGAAGATATTAACGTTGTCTTTCTAGCACAAACTTTGCCTTTGTTGCAATAACAAGCGCATATGGTACGTGCTTTTCTGTTCTGTCTGCGAGAGCAAGCAGGGGAAGCCAAGTTGTTTTATCATGTCTGTGTTATGTGTTTGTTCCAAATTTCCAATCATGTGTTTGTGTCTTATCATAAGAACACAAGGGAAAGCAGCAGTTAACTGCATTACAAACCTTTCAACAGCATAAGTTTGCCTCATCACAACATGTGAAGTCCACATGGCACGAGATAAGTGCCCCTCTGCTGGCTCCGGCTAAGTGCTTCTGGGCCGTACACACAGCACACAAAACATAGGTCCCAAACCCACTTGCTCTGTCTCAGGAACCCAATATAGCCAAAGCTGTATGCAAGTATTTAGTACGCGTGGCGTGCTTTCCTTTGATAGCTTCACCATCCCGCTTTGTGCATGACGTCATATCCCTTCTAAACTTTGATTTCATTTATTGATATGATTGATTGTAATAGTGTGCATAATTATTAATTGGAACCTAAGTTGTGATATATAAGGATATATATAGTTGATTACTTTAGTGAACATAATCAATCTTGCAATTCACGAGAGCATTATCTATAACCTAGTACTTTCAAACTGAGTTAAATACATTAGACTATAGTTGAGTGGTAACTTTAATACTTAAAACCTAACATAAAATTTACCCTAACAAAGACAAGGCGCCTTCAAGGAATCTCTCGCTAGTAGGAACATTGTTCATTTCAGAAAACAAGAAAGTAAATGATATGGCTCCCTGGTTACCCAATTAGAGCCCCAATATTACCAAAAATCGCAAGGTCTAGTCCTTGTCGGTGTCGGTTCGAAGCACACTCAAAGAGACCACAATTGTGTTCAATGTGAGTGCATACAACTAGAACTAGGGCATCCACATCATTCCAACCAGGAGTGTGGGGCATGTGAAAGCTGGTCTTGGCTCTTGCCATCATGTTCTGTGACAGTCTATGATATCTTGTGTTTCTTTCTGTGCCTTGTGGCTGTAGGGGTGGCCCTTAAACTTCAAGGACACCGTCCAAAACTCCAGGGGCTCTCATATGGGATCAGGCCCCATTCCTGCTCCTCACAAGTAAGGGGCAATTTTAGCTTTATGGCAGCAAAAGGGGTGGCTTTCGCTGTCGGTCGTCGGTCGGGTTTAGGGTTTATGGCTTTGGGCTAAGGCTAGCCCTAGCAGGGCCACAATGATATATCCCAATTGGCTTCCATTGTCA